TTTGCAGAGTAGAAGAAATGTAAGTTTTGGAATCCAACAGCCCAGATGTTAAATTCTAGTTTTGCTCCTAACTTGTATAATAAGACGACTATTTTGAAAATATTTTTCTCTGTGCTTTCCTGAGTCCATGATTCTGATCTGCCCTAGGCATCCATCTGCCCCAGGAGAGATGAGGGTTTCTATAGAAGGAATTCTGAGGAAGAAAAGGGAATCCAATACTTAGCTTCTGACACTCAAAATAGCATTTTCAACCAGACAGTAGCCTTGCAAGCCAAGCTGTTGTCTTAAAAAGTTCTGAATTCTTTTCTCTCCCAATTTTAGCACACCAAGAACCATGCCCGGAGGCCTCAGCTCACAGGAAGTCTCGCTGCTCCGTGGTTGATGGGATATTTGACATAGGAAACTGAGACAGGGGCTTTGGGGATGGAGGAGGAGAGACAGGCAGGGAGACGTCTGGGGAGCCCCCCATGACGCTCTGCTTGGGTATCCTTCCCGAGGAAAGTTTCGGGGGAAGGCAAGCGGCCTGCCTCTAACCACCACCCTAGGGTCACATCCCTGTGGTTACCCTGGAAGGAAGTAGAGGGTCAGCAGCACTGAGACGAGACACAGCACCTGCAGAAGCTTCCCCAGGCCTTCCACCGGGCATTTCCTGGGACTCCCATCTCCCTGGAGCTCCCAGGAGCCTCCTCCCCCGCCCCACCCCTTTACTCGGGGAGAAGAGCAGGGGAGAGGGACGCTGTCTGACAAACTGAGCATTTTTTATGCAAAAGAGACAGAATTGTCTAGAGGGGCTGTTTAGATTATTACATCAACTAGCTTGTAATCCAGAATGGACTAAATTAAAGTCATCGTTTCCCCATCACCCAGGGATTCCCTAGGGATCGGGAGCTTGTCAGGAAGACCAAAGAGGTTAAAAACAAAACAGGGTCCATTTTCCGCTGTACATCCCAGGAGTCGTTTGAACAGCCTGCTCACACGTGCCCGTGTGCCTCGGATGAGACTGAGACTCAGTTTCTTTCTTTGTGACGTGGTGATGCATCACAGCTCACATCTCAACAGATTCACTGTGTATTTAAATGACAGGTGGCATAAACACCCCCGGGCCACTTCAGAACTTCAGTAAGGGCATTCCTGGCCAGTGCTGGGGAGCAGGATTCAAGCACCTTGTGGTCTGCCTGGGTCCACCACCCAGTGACCATGATCTCCGTCTCCACGGGAGAGTCGAACAGACCCCCATCCAGGCTGCAGACGATGGTCAGAGGTGGACCCCTGGTTCTTACCTGTCTGCAAGTTCAAGTGCCAAAGGAAAACCACGCATGAGAAACTGAGAGCACAGCCCCCTGGGTTCGCAGAGCTGCTCCTGTCCTTTCAAAGACCACCTGGGACATCTCCTCGGCTCCGAGTGACTTTTGAGCCCTGGGGGGTCTGTATGGCCCTTGCCCCTCGGTGCCCCCACTGCACAAAGCGCACCAGCAAACCGAGGCTGCGCGTGCTTGCAAGGGCTTGTGGAGCCTGAGCAGGAGCCCTGGCTCCCTGGTTCCCGCTCAGCCTCCATGCCCGGGTAAGAGCGTATTATTTTCTTAGCTCAAATTGCCGTTTCCAAGTCATTATTTCTCTACGACAAGAAAACAATATTGGGTCTTATGTAATATCAACCTCAATGAATCTGGAAGTGATCAGGGAATGGGTGGCTTTCTTCCCCCCTTCTTAAAAAAGAGAAAAATAAATTTGAGATTGTTCGCATATGGCCGAGAATATTTATGAACTACTCCCCTCGTTTCCTTCTCCCATATTTTACCGGGTGCGCTTGTGTGTGGTACAGAATCAGGCTTTACGGGCAGGGCGGGGCAGAGAGGGGAAGAAAGCAGGCTGAGGACTGGGGGTCCTACAAGTGCCTGGGACCTTGGAGGTCTCGGGCCTCGGGGTCCCCTGGCCTCAGGTTGGCTTGCTGTGGTCTGAGGTTTCCCCCGTCCCGCTACTCAGAGGAAGTCTTTCGGAGGGAGGGTCTCAAATGCCAACACGGAAGGAATTACCATCTTCTTGTCGCTCTGGTTTCTTTCACAACCCCCTCCCCATCACCAGAGCAGAAAGTTCAACACGAACAGGTTCACAGCCTGGGCTGCCGTCAGCCAAAAAGAATCGTTAAATTCTACGGGTGCCAGGTTTTGAGCCTGGGTCCGAGGACTGAAGGAAAAGCACTGGCAGAGAACGAACGGGGCTGGCCTTTGTCGTTCGATAGCGCAGCTGTGTGTGTGTGAGCACACAGGCACGTGGAGACGGTCTCCCTCCGGCCCTGCGTCTCCGCGCGGCTAGTCACCGAGACGGATCCGAGAGGGAGCCAGGGCCAGGGCCACGGCAGGACGTTCAGTCAGTAAGAGAAGCCAAGTTGCAGGCCTTTATTTTCCTCCTCTAGGGACTGGGCTTCAGAGCTGGAGCCCAGCATCTCTCATTCTCTGCGGTGCCTTGGATTTTTGAGGAATATCCTGACCAAGAGTGCGGGGTGAGGGGCAGAGAGCAGGATGCCTGCCACATTCGGTAATGCAACAGCAGCAGCTCTCATTACATGATGTCCTAACCCGAGCCAGGCACCGCGTGACGCCCGCTCCCTGCGCTGGCTGAGCTCAAGCTCACACAGGCCTGAGGAGAGTTAAGGACCTTCAGAACTGCTGTTGAGATGAGGGAAGCAAAGCTCAGAGAGGTTGAGGAACTTGCCTGAGGTCACACTTCAGAAGTGTCAGGATCAGGGACGTTTCCATGATGTGTGGGGTGGGTAGCCAATACAATCAATCCAAATAAGGAATTTGAAAAATCAAGTTCAAGGCCTTGGAGCTGAAGCCTCAGTGGCAACGCAGTAAATTCACCCTGGGCAGGGTCGACATTTAAATACAGCGTTAGCTCTGTCCCTTGGCCCCATCCCTGCTGCCTGGACTCCTCTCTACCATGGTTTTTGCCAATGCTGGCCTTCACATTCTGATCAAAGACGTACAGACACAAGGGATGCGACTGCCATGCGGAGGACCTGGTATGTTATTGGCGTGTCGTGGTTGGGACATAAGGCAACAATCCTTCCCATTGCCAGACATTACCTTCCACCTCAAGACATCACTGGAGAGAGCTGAGAGGTCTCCAGGACCGTCCTCCCAAGGAGCTTCAGTTGCTGTCCTCGCCTCTCTTACCAAGTCTCACGATGGTTCCCAGACTAGGTCCTTGGGCACGGACTTGGGCAGTGACTTGCTCAGGGGTCCAGGGAGCATTTGGAGTTAAAGTACCTGCAGTGACTCATGTCCCATCATCTGTCTCTTTCCTTCAGATGATATTCGGTCATCAAATTTCAACAGGCATTCTGTCTGATTTTTCCTTTCTCCATTAGAATCATTTCTGTAAGGGAGAGAGGCAGTGGGATTTGTGGAAGCAAACAAGCCCAATACAAATCGCAGTGCTCCAGTAGAGGGTGAGGTAGGGCGGGGCGCGTAAGAAGCATCGTGTGTTGTGTGGTGCCCTCCCTCTGCTGTGGCTCTTGAATAGGATGGCCATCCCATCCCAGTCTAGACAATTAATAAGGGGAGTACAAGCTTTTTTTTTTCCCCCCCAGCCCTGGTCTCTCAATTCTCCCAAACTGGAAACACAAAGCACATGGTTAAGTGCAAGTTCAAATGCCACACCAGGGAGAAGGAAGTGTTGAGAAACCACGTCCGACCTCCAGCCTGTTTCCAAGCATTCCAGTGAGCGTTTCCATTGATTTATCTTGGACAAGTGTCATTTCATTGTCTCAAACAAAGGCTTTCTATGAAAAGACAGTCACGGGTTCTGTGAGGAGGGGCTGGCAGAAGGCACGTTTGGGAAAATGGGAATAAGAGCACGGTCCTCTGGGCTCTTCCTCCAGGGGCAACTCTCCGCTTTTCTCTGCTGGAATTAACACCAGGACCGATTCCCGGCATCTCAGTGTCATGCTCTAAAGCAGAGTCTGGAAAAGACAGCCACTAGGGGAGGGGCTGATGACGCAGGTGGAGTGGCCAGCGACTCGGCCAGACATCTCCTCCTCTGTCCTTGGAGCTCAGGTGGATGGTTTCTGTGCGAGGGTTCTGTGACTAGAATGGTCTGCGAGACTCTGGTTGGAATGACTCTTGAGTCATCACGGGTTCCTACAGCTGCTCTTTTGAGTATTTTGTTCTGCATCTAAATGAACTACTTCATACACAACCATCAGGACTGGGGAGGTCTTCTGCCACGTTATCTTTACTTGGATGTTCACTCTGAGCTGTATCCATGACAGGTTTCCATGCAGCTGTAATGTGCACATTTCTGGTGCAACCCACTGCATGGTGCATTGGCCCATCCATTTTGGACAGCTCTGAGTTTTAGGACAACCTTTGTAGATTAAAGTCAAGGATGCCTCCCTGATACCCATTGGTTGTCTGGGGGGGCAACCCCAAACATGGGCACCCACTTTTCCTGTGTCATGTTTTCCTGGAAGCCTTGTCTCCTATCCTTCTCAGCTTGAGTTAGCCATAATGAATGCTTCCTCCAAATCTGGTGCAAAATCTCTCTCCCAGGTTGTCTGTTCAGTTGTTATTTACTTATTTAATATCCCTTTCTTTCTACAAGTTTATTAGACAGGTTAATTGTGCAATGCTGGCAAAATTTAGGTAAGCAAAATAAGGAAACGAAAGTTGACTATTACTATGGCATCTGCTGGAGATGAGCTCTGTGGAAACTTGGATAAATACCCTGATGGTTGTATTTCTATATTTATATAATCTTTTTGAAAAAAGGATTGGATTAGCTTGTGTTTATCGTTGGGTTAAAGTTTGCTTTTTCAGGCTATTCAATACTCTTCTGCAGCATCGTGTTCATGGCTGCGAGGGACTCTGTGGTGTGTGGGGAGCTGGTGTGATGAAGGGGCAGGATTCCGGATAAGCTACTTTCCTCTAAAGACCCCGTGGCTATATCCGTTGGCAAGAAGGTTGACTAAAGACACTTCTTTTGCTGTTTCGTGCCAGCCCTTGAGAGAGGCCTCACCAAGGCGCTGAAAAAACTGGATGACTACCTGAACACGCCTCTGCCGGAGGAGATTGATGCCGACACCCGTGGGGACGATGACAAGGGCTCCCGGCGCAAGTTCCTGGACGGAGACGAGCTGACTCTGGCTGACTGCAACCTGCTGCCCAAGCTCCACGTGGTCAAGGTAAGAGCGCTTTCCCTGCAGCGGCTGCCCAGATCCACCTCCATCAAGGGTCAGGTCACCTGTGTAGCTGAGGCAAGGATAGGAAGTACCACCTGCTGATGGAGATTCGGAGCTCTGAAGCTGCAGGAACCGGGACCCAGAGCCAGCCCCCACTGCGTGCCGCCTGTCTAGCCTCCCCAGGCTTCTGTTTGCTCCTGTCACATAGACATATGCTGCTTCACTAGGGTCGTTGGGATGTACATGCACCCTGAAAGTGCCTGCCGTATAGTAAGGGCTCGCTACCTAACAGTTGCTGTAATTGTCCTATTGCTTGTAGTTCTATGTAGTCCTGTCACTCTAAAGGCTTCTTCCTTAACTCTTCCTCATAGTTTTTCCCTGGCCTCCCCCACCCCCCATCTCTGCCTAGTGTGCCCTCATTTGCATGTTTCCTTTGTGCACAGACCCACCCTCGGACTCCCTGTAGCAACTCCGTTGGGTGGGCGGGCATCCCCTTCCTCCCCGACAGCCCAAGAGCTGGAGGCTGCGAGAAGTGACGTCATTTTCTCGCTCGCGTTGCGCTTACTGATCCTGAATCCTCTCCTCTACGAGCCTTAGCATCTAAGAGTCAGAAAGAAGGGAATTCTGAGGTCCTCCCCAGCCTCCCACCCCAAAGTGGACCACTTACTGTGTGTCTGTGACGGGCTTCTGTGCGACTGGGACTGCGCATTTCTGACGACCAAGAGCCCCCTGCCTACGGAGCCAGCCCTACCTTTTCGGATGGCTCTGGTGATTAAAACATCCCCCACTGACGTGGAGCCCAGTAGGGCCTCCCTGCTCACGCTGTTCTCGGAGCAACGTGTTTCATCATTTGAAGACAGCAGTGGTGTCCCCCACATTTCTCGAAACCAACACTCCTCACACCCTTTCCTGACCCGCCCCAGCCCAGAGAAGGACACAGTGGGGTCGCATAGCCCGACTGTTCTCTACTTTTACACATGTCACTATCTTACTGTCACAGTCTGACACAAAGCTCTGTGAGGACAGGTCTTCTCCAGGAGTGATGGTGGGCACGTGGTGGCCCTTTAATAAGTACTCCTTGATTGACTATTCGATCACCTCAGTTTCTTTCTATCCAACACAAGTGTCAGATTCCATCATTTATCAGCTGGATATCTGCCTCTCGTTTTTTGGCTGATGTCCTGAGCTAGAAAGGCAGGCATTCCTCCCATCAGAGCACATGCTGGCTTGAGTTGAAATGTCAGCTGTGCCTGCACGGAGGCTCCCAGGGACTTGGCAGGCCTGGAGGCTGGGAGGGACTCATTTCTGCCAGGGCTGATGGATGGGGTGAATGCAGTCTACGAAGAGGAAGACACTTTGCCTTCAGGGCCAAGCCAGTGGTCACTTGTAGGTCCAGCCAAGCTATATTTCTTTGGAATTATTAATTACTGCACGCCCCACCCCACCCCCTAAAACATCCTTTATTCTCTTTCCTGAACAAGTGCCACCATTAGGGACCATATGATTCTATCTCTGTCACACTGCGTCAGGGAGAGGTAGTGGAAACACCTCCGTTCCAGAAGTCAGGAGAACCAAGTTCTAGTCCTGTGTCTGCCACCAACTAGCAGCAGGAGCTGGGGCAAGCCACTTACTCTTTTTGGAAATCATTTTCCTTATGCCTAAGAGGAGAGACGTGGATCATGTTCCTTCTCGCCCCTCTCCGTCCCTTCCCTCCCTCCTCCTCTCTCACTCACGCATGGACTGACCATGAATCAAGAATCGTGTGTCCAGTGAGGCGAACAAAGGGATCTCCCAGGCCTCGGGCTTCATCCTCTGATTTCTTCAGTCCCTTCCAGCCCTAAACAGTAGGTGACGCCCCCGTCCTTGTATGAAGTCTGGTGAGTCCGTCACTCGGACAAGCCGGGACCAGAGGGCGGATGTCCCGAGAAGGGACAGGGGCTGGGCCTTGCCTCCTGTCTCCTTGGATTTCTGCTGATCCTGCTCATTGGGTCCCAGAGCCCTGGCAAGCCTCTCAAGCGCAGAAAGCATGAAGAGGAAGCCAAGTCAGGCCTCCAGTTTGACTTCTGACGCCAGGACTTACTCTGGGCTGGGGGGGCTAACTGTTTTCATATGAGAGAGCGGATTCAGAACATGAGCGTGGAGGTTCCTGCGGACGTCAGAGCTTCCCCCGTGCGCATTCTGTCTCTCTCTCACTGGCTCCCCTTCAGGTCTATCTGCATCCTTGGAGGCTGAGTTGCTCTGGCTGGACGCTCACTGAGAGCCTGGTTTGAACTTTCGTTGTCTGGCTGCCTTGTTTTCTCACACGCGCCAACGCGAGAGGAGAGAACCAGCTCGGGTCAAGCTCAGGGCCTCAGATCCAGGCCGGGAGTGGGGCACAGGGGCCTCTTGTTATGGCCTGTGGGACCCTGGCCCCCAGGGACCCTCACCTGGCACAGGGACCTGTTCAGTCCTTTGAAGCAAACAGGAAGGGAGCTCCACGTATAGACACAAATACATGTTCATAAATTGCATCTCTGCTGTTTTCCAGTTCAAATTATATCCTTTAAAAACTTGAAAATAAATTCCAGTGCTGAGAGACTTGAGGCTGTCCCAGTGGATCAATTTGTAATTTTGAAAAATATATTATCAGTGCCTTGACCTCATTGTGGGCCTTTTGCTTCCTTTTTTTTTTTTCATTTTTTAAAAAATTGAAGTAGAGTCGATGTACAATGTTACATAAGTTACAGGTGTACAACATAGTGATTCACAGTTTTTAAAGGTTATACTCCACGTATAGTTACTACAAAATACTAGCTCTATTCTGTTTGTACAATAAGACATCCTTGTAGTTTATTTATTTTATACATAATAGTTTGTGCCTCTTAATCCTCTGCCCCTATCTTGCCCCTCCCCCCTTTCCTCTTCCCACTGGTGCCCACTTAGTCTGTTCTCTGTATCTGCGAGTCTGCTTCTTTTTTGTTTTATTTTATTCTTGCTGTTATAGTTTGTTATTATGTTTGTTTTATTTTTTAGTTTCCACGTATAAATGATATCGTACAGTATTTGTCTTTCTCTGCCTGACTTATTTCACTTAACGTAATACCCTCCAAGTCCATCCATGTTGTTGCAGATGGCAAAATTGCATTCTTTTTTATGGCTAAGTAGTATTCCGTGTGTGTGTGTGTGTGTGTGTGTGTGTGTGTGTGTGTGTGTGTGTGTGTATTCACCACATCATATTTACCCATTAATCTGTTGATGGACACTTAAGTTGCTTCCCTATCGTGGCAATTGTAAATAATCCTGCTATGAATATTGAAGTGCATGTATCTTTTTGAATTAATGTTTGCCTTTTTTCGGATAAATACCCAGGAGTGGAATTGCTGGATCATAGGGTAGGTCTAGTGTTAGTTTTTTGAGACACCTCCTAGTGTTTTCCACAGTGACTGCACCAGTTTACATTCTGTGGGCCTTTTCCATCCGCTCTGGCAATTTCCAGCTGCTTCCCCCCGTGAAGCCTCCACATCTGTGTGGAATTGCTCGTTAGCTGAGACAGCCTCTTCTAAAGACTTTCAGGCCCTTCATCTTGCAGTGAACGGAGGGGGCTCTGTGGAAGGACTCCGATTCCATCACCTGTGTTACCAGCCACACGTCTGCTGGACAGACATTGCTGGATGGCTTCTGTAGTGACGCCCCAAAGCAGTTATTTTAACGGAGAGAATGTAATATAAAAAGTTCTAAGTACCTAAGAACTAGGAAGCAAAATGTACCTTGAGGTTCCTCCTGCCCTGGGGCGGGGGGCAAAGGGAGGAGGCTGGCATGACTAAAACTTGGGAACTAGGTGCCAGGCCCCGCAGAGCTGCACCGTGGACCTCCGGGGTGGGGCGCTGCTCCCCTGAGGCGGGGACAGGCTCGGCAGGGGTGGGGTCATTGATGTGGGCCAGCCTCTCCGAGCCGGCGTGAGCACACTGGTTATGTGCTTGTGAAACGGCAAACTGGATTCCGCTGCTGCTCCTGGAGCAGAGGAGACCCCGACAGGAACAGGAATCCCACGGGCGGGGACCTGTCCGGTCTCCCTCCTCCTGTCACGCAGCTGCTCTCTAGCGCCCCGTGTTGGCAGAACCCCGCCGGCCGTCGCTGGCAAAGCAGAGGTGTGGTCTGCAGCCCCTGCCCCCGCCCCGCAAAGACTCCAGCACACGGGTGGGTTTGGAGATAAAGCAACAGCAGCTGAATAACTGGCCCAGAAAGGATTCTGAATAGAGCTGTTCCTTTACCATTTACCCTGTTATCATAGGGCTGAGCGGCAAAGTGGAGAGACTCAGATTAGGAAGCAACTAATCGGGACTGTAATAGATATTAGTGATTAATAGATAATAATAGATAACAGATATTGGTTGATTTAATTATTTTCCTGTGTGACATTGTGTACACCACTAAATCTCTTGTGACCGGTTTGCTCATTGCTAAGGCTCTTCAGGCTTTAAAATGAAGTGGTTATATCCATTTGAGGCCAGCTGCACTGTTTAATGTTAGGATAACAGAGGATGGTAAAGATTAAATACAAGTGTGTATTGAATCCCTACTTACTTAACCTCCCTTGGTCGCATTTTTCTCATCTGTAAAATGGGAATATAGTACAGTCTTCCTTATAGAGTGATTTAGGGATTTCAGGAGCTTTCCAAGTGCTTAACGCAGCACCTGGAGCAGTGCACAGAGTAAATAAATGTTTGCTACTGTTGTTACTCTTACCAGCATCATTGAGGTTATCAAGGGGACAGGAAGGGAAAAGCTGTGGTTCCTGTCCTTATACAAATTAGGGAAGAGAGAGATGATACGAAAATGGTAACTGTGATTCAGAACAGAAGAGTGCTCAGAGTTGTCAGGGAAGTTCAGAACTGATGTAGAACAGAGAGGGGGACGCGTCCTCCTTGGCAACGTCGTGTCTAGGAGACCAAGATTTTCTAGATGACCGAGCAATAGGTCATCTAGTCCCTCACTCAGCACTGCTTTCCGGGGAACCCCGCACATCACCGGCACCCAGATGAAGATGTAAGCAATCAAACCAAGGTAGCTGGTCTGGGGTGCTCTCTGCATGGGGGGATCCCTGGGTCAGAGGTCTGGAGACCTCTCTAAAAAGAGAGCAAGGAGAGGAGTCAGAAGTCAGTCCTGTAGGAGAGAGGCTGCTTTTTGCTCTTCCCACCCCAGTCCCCAAGAGCTAGAGGCATGACTAGCCAATGTGCAGGCCCCAGCGCATAGCAAAAGTATTAAAAAAAAAAAGTATTCAGAATTTCCAAATGTGGACAGCAGAGCATTAAACCAAGAGCAGGGCCCTTCTAAATGCGAGGACCCATGTGACTGCACAGGTCACATGTCTGAAGCCCTCCCTGGCTAGAGAGACCTTATTAAAGTGACCACCCAGCCCCTACCTACGAAGGAATGCATGCAATGGGCAAAAGGTGGGTCCCAGTGAATTATAACAATGGGTGATGTTTCTTGAGAACTTGGTAGGAGCCAGCCATCCCTCTGATCGTTTTATGTTTATTAACTAATTCATCACTCCAAGGTAGGTCCTCTTCTTACCTCCATTTTAGAGATAAAGAAATTGGGGCTCAGAGAGGTTAAGTAATGAGTCCAAGGTCACATAGCTGTTAAGTAGTGGGGTCAGGATTTCAGAACCAGGCAGTTGGGACCCAGAGCCCATGCTTTTAACGACTATGTTACTGTGTCTCTCAACACAACAGCACCTCCCCGGAACACCCAAGCCCACAGCCCCAAGCGTGGCAGACTAGGGAGAGAACAGAAATCATTACCTGTTCACTCCCACAGACCCTGAAGCTACAGAGACCTTCCAACATCTAACTTACATTTCATACTTTGTAAATTCACTTTTGTACATAAGGGTGCTTACCTAAAACAAAGTGGATAGGAAAAAAAAGAAAGAAAAAGTTGTCTCTAACTCTATCAGACATGACCACTGAACACATTGATACAGTTACTGCTAGTCATCACACTTATTTCTCCAAATGTGTTCTACTGCACTTCAAGCTTAACAGTCTCGAAGCGTTTTCCAGATCACTGGAATTTCCTCTGCAGCATCATTTTTAATGGCTCTCCAGTGTGCCTTTGTATTTATGTGCCATCGTGTATTTATCCATCCGTGTGTTACAGGGCAAGTGTGTTGTGTACCATTTCCTGTTATTCCAAATAGTCCCACCATCCTATTGGGGGAGCTAAACCTTCCTGTGCATCCGTGATATTTCCTGCGGGGGTAGGGGGTTGGGAATCCCTAGAAGCAGAATCACTGTGTCAAAGGGCAAAGTATATTTGCTTCAGAAAATAAAATAAAAATACATATAACATGACATTTATAAAACGACATAAAGTAAGATCAATACAATGCAAAAGCTTCCACGACCACCCGGCGTTACTGCGCGTTTTGCTGAGGGCCCCTTGTGATGCGCGAGGGCCGTCCTGCCGTGCACACACCGGGTGGGGCCCCGGACGCCTTCCCAGAGGTTCGTTTCTTGCGTTGTTAACACCATCTCCGTCCTGCCATCTCTGTCGTAGATTGTGGCCAAGAAGTACCGCAACTACGACTTCCCGGCCGAGATGACGGGGCTGTGGCGGTACCTGAGGAACGCCTACGCCCGGGACGAGTTCACCAACACGTGCGCGGCCGACAGCGAGATCGAGCTGGCCTACGCCGACGTGGCCAAGCGCCTGAGCCGGTCCTGAGCGCGGCCCGCCCGCCCGGCACAGCTGCAGAAGGCCTCCACGCCTCCCCCAGGACGCCGGCTGCACAGGCTCCTCTTCCACGTCGCCTCGGGAAAACTTTTCTTTTTTTTTTTAAATCAGGCCGCATCTTGCTAGCATCATTGGAACCCCAGCTTGCCGTCTTTGACGAAGGTCTGCGCCATCCCCGTCTGATCAGGCAGGAATCTGCAAGCGGATATGATAGAAACGGTCAAGCTCTCAGCCTCCGGAGCTGGGCTGGGTTCAGTGTCTTTGGGGTCAGCGTGGGAGAACCCATCTCTGGGACTGTCACAGCCCCCTTTTGCCAATATCAGAATATCTCCTCCGATGCATTAGAAACATGAAACACCTGTGTCCTGGTCCACCCTGCTCGTTGTCAGTAACTCCAAGGTCAAGGCCAAATGCCATCTTAGTTCTTGTGAGAAAGAGGTGCAGTGCTGTGTTAGGGCAGACGGCGGGTGGACCTGAAGGAGGGAGCAGGCTGTGGATCTAGGCATCGGGCAGACACTCCTTCAGTCACTTGCTACTTCCTGACACTCCTGTCACTTTGCACACTGAAGGCCAGATTGAAAGCCACTTCAGACGCAGTCTCAGTTTGCTGCAGTGCTGGGCACGGGGAGATGCTATCACGTACCTGGTCGATGCTTACCTCCACTTTTATCTGTCCTGACTTTGCCTGGAAAGGAAATTGGCTTGTAATTCCAAACTGGGGTGACTCAAAAGGGGAGGAGAGTGGTGTTGATGCCAAAAGGCCCACGGGGGTCTGCCAGCCGCAGGGTTTGCTTGCTTATGGGTAGTCATTTTATGGGAGGTTTCATGCCTGCGTTTGATCCTGTTTATCCACGAGTGAATTTTGGTCTGTGAGAAAGCAGACGGGAGTGGGAGGTGGAGGGATGGGTGAGCATTATATAAGTTCTTTCCGAGGCTCTGTGTTCCCTGGGAATCTTTTAGACAGGTCTTCTCTCCCATGGTCTAACTAAGTCTTGAACTGGTGATGTCATGTGACTACTAACCTTATAGCAAAAACTCAAGAATTGGCCAAAAATGACTTTCCAGGCTCTTCAAGTTGTTCCTGGATGTGAGTCTGTTAGCTGGGTGCACCCTGATTCAGCCTCTGACGGGCAAGAAATACGTTTGGGAGGTGGCATGATCATGGGACACCTTAGGAAGAAAGTCCACAGGGCCTTTCTGACTGGGAAGCCGTGTGGTTTGAACTTGAAGGAAAAAATATATGTGCATCTGGGTTAATTTTCCTACCGTCTGACTCAACTGCCAGATGAAAAACAGGACACTTCTTTTCAGCTAATCTTTCACTCTTTAGCCCTTCTCCTTGAGTTTCACCTCCTTAAAAGCTCACCCAGCTGGAGCATGGGACCTGGGCAGGCGAACGAAGAAAAGTGAATTAGTGATTAGTTCCTTGTTGCAGTGAACACCCCCTGAGGACATCCACCCCTGCACCCACTGCCACAGGCCCTCACCTTCAGCAGTCCTTCCTTCTGTGTTGTCTGTTGGTGGAAGGTGAGGCTCTCAAGTGCCCGGAAGCCTCAGGACTTGACTCACTGGTCAGCGAGGGCAGGACGGCACGGAGCTTTTCCATACAGACATCATCGGTTTCTAACCCAAGAAATCCCTGGACTTCCCTCCGTCCTGAGGTCTCTGGAGGAAAAAGAGACCCACTGATGAGAACAGAGAGGAGGGAGCAGATCTCCTTCAGCCCAGGGAGAAAGAGGACATTTGTCAGTAGGACATTCTGTGAGCCTGAGACCTTTGAAACGGAGGTGATTCATTTCCACCTCTAAGGGGACCTTTCCATGGGCTCCCTGGAAGCTTTGTCCCTGCCGATGTTGGAAAAGGGCAACTGGTGAGGAAACATGCCTTTTAAACTGTAGGGAAAAGCCCCAAACTGGCCTCCTGGGAGACGAAATCTCGAATGATCCCAAAGGCCTTTTAATTAGTGGGAAATCCATTGTCCCAGGAAATTCTTCCCTGGACTTAACAGCACTGACATGATGATCTAAGGGGCAGTTTAATTTCCTGAGACCCCCCGGAGGTGCTGATCTGAGAAGCACAGCCAACCAGCTGCAGAGAGAACAGGAGGACGCCCAGGTGGAGTGGCTCCCCCATCATTTGGACACTAATGATGCTGACTTGATGTTCAGAATTCAGCAATTGGCGAGTCTTTAACACAGCCTTTAAAAACAAGCCAAATCGAAGCAATGTTGTTGGTTCTATACATTCCTTCTGTGGTTGACTTACCTGTATGTAAATAACAATACTAAGACACTGGAGTGGGGCTGGGGCAGTTATATGATTAGTTACAACCATTTAAAAGAGGGAGAGGAGACAGATGGAAGGCCCTTCTGGGTACTTACCAGAATATCTTTCATTTCAACAAACTATCATATGATGCAACTGACTGTTAACTTAGAGCTTTAATATCTATGACCAGATTTATCAGAGCACTTAAAAATAATTATAATATTGCCTTCTGATTTTTTAAAAGAGATTTTTCTCCAGATTCTTCAGCCTCCCTGGGTTTTCGGCCATTAACCTTGTCATGTACACAGCAGATCATCTCCAGATAACAGTGTGGAGAGGTCCTTCAGTGTCCCCAGAACCAACTCAGGGAATATGGAAGGTCTGCAATTTGACCCCACACCCCAGAGGGTGAAGACAAGAGGTCACCCTTGTCATTGGTCTGGAATGAATATTGAGGCCTCAGAAATAGTTACTCCTGTTGCATGCCTTCATTGCCTGACAATTCAGAACCACAGGCCATCTTGTTTTCAACAAGGGGTACAGCTCCCTGGCACCAGGCTGCTGAATTGAAAAGTGAAACACACATTCCATCAGGTTATTTCGCCAGAGGATCTCAAACCAGTTTCAGCTTCCCAAGAAATGGCACTGTCTTCAGCGATCACTTCTCATGCTAGAGGGGCCATTGAAGGTCTTGATTGTTTTGTTGTTGTTGTTGTTGTTGTTAGAGAAAGGCCATACCAAGAGTGAGGGCTCCTGGGCTGAACCTTCTAGCATTTGGTCAAGTGAAACAACAGAAGCTTATCACGGCACCTGTGCCCACTGGCCCCTCTTCAGTAGGACGATACCACGCATCTTAGATTGGTTGCAAAATGGATCGTGTCTGGAATGAACCCTGAAGATCTGAGAGTCCTAGGAATCAGCAAGACCTAGACAAATAGAATTAAAAGGGGGGCAGAGTCAGGAAGGTGTAGGCCTACTTAGTGAGAGTTTTCCATCAGAAGACAAAAGTGAGACTTTTTAAAATATACATATAACATTAAAAAGAATCAGAAGCATTAGAGAAAGAAGTGTGTGTGTGAAGCATCCTGGTTCTGGTTTTAGGACAGAAGCGGTCACTTCATTGGCCGTGGGGCCTTTCTGGCACACAAGGGCCACTGTCTTCTGTCCACTGGTCTTTGCCTTTAACCTAGACGACACGTGCCCTCCCGTGAGTGCACGTTCCTCTCCCTGTGTCAATACTCTCCTCCCAGCTCAGTTTCAGGGCACTTTGATTTCATAATTAGTTATGAGCCAAAGTGTGCATCATCTTAATGTTACTTAAGGAAATGGATCCAATGTTCCCCTCCCCAACCAAAAATAAAATTTTAAGTTGCCTCATTATAGGGTTGGGCTAATCAGTGTCTCTATAAAAGCTGTCTTTTTTTTGGCAAAATAAAATTTTAAGGATCCAATCATCTATGGTATTTTATGCATCATTAGAGATTTTGCAACACTGACTATGCATATATTTACAATACAAAATATCCAGCTGATGTTTGAATTTGTCTTAGCTTTCCTGACCACCTGGCTGTCCCATTTTATAAACTGGGGAGCTACCTAATTTGGCAAAAGAAGCCTTAAAAGATCAAGCATTTCATCTTATAAAGACGCTCCAAAGGATGGTAACTTGATTTTCTCAAGACCTTCAATTGTGGCGAACAAGTAACAGGACTTGCTTTCAAGCCTTAATAATCTAAGATGCCTTTTAATGAAGACATTGCTGTGTTTTCCTCATGAATCTGAACCAGTTATAAATTTGTTTCCCAACCTTGATTGGTATTGACTGATTCAAATAAAGTTGGTTTATTTTCAAATATTACAAAAGCGATTCATCAAGCTTCTTATTTGAGGTGGAAATTCCCTATGCTGCTTTCTATGACACGTGTGAAATATCTCTTTTAATGCTATTTTATTTTCCCGTTACAAAAGAAAAGATGTTCATTCGTTTTAAAAATCAAAAGCAAATGAAAAGAAAAAGAGGAAGAAGAACAGAAGGAAAAGCAGAGAGCTTGTGACCAGACATCCAAACCCTGATTTTTATTTTAGCAAGGCTAGAAATGGACCATTGTACACGGGCTAGGTGAAAAAACACACTGATGTTCGTTCATGGGTCTCATTTCAGTTTCCTATCTGTACTGTACCTGCGGGGAGGGCACCAGTGACAGTGCAGGTGTAATTTAAAGGATACCTTAAAATACTGGTCTGCCTGGACCCTAAAGCCCTCTCTTGGCCCTCAGTGGCCTTGCCCTATCAGTACTCCTGGCCTGAAACTCCCACCCTTAGGCGCCATGTCATTGACTTTGGATTAAGGTCCCCAGAACCTTCAGTTAGATTTACCTGAAGTCAACATAGCACCTGAGGATGAAAGTGTGTTTATGAGTGTTCACGTTGCTGGAAGGTACGAAACTCTTGGCAGCCCTGTGTGTATCCCCCATGCTCTGTCAGGACAGCTTCTCATTGCCTTGGAAAACATTAAATTTCTGGCTCAGAGAGTGAGTCCTGGTGGGAGGCGCAGCCCGGAGCTCAGAGCAGATGCCGCTGGTGGTCCTCTCTCCATCCGGACCGCCCCCATCTTCTCTGGCGGAGCTCTGATGGGATCAGGAGTCCACTTCCCCACTGCCTCCCCACCCTCCTGTGACTCAGGTGAGAATGATTCCAGCCCCCTTCCGGGGGTGAATCACGCATGGTCTGAGCCTGCTCTCCTGGCTGTGGCTGGCTTCAGAGCGGGCTGCTGACCAAGTTTCACCCAGTATTGTGAGGGTGAGGCCTGTTCAGGAGCTTCTAAGAAGGATTTCCTTGTTCTTTCAAGAGTGACTCAAAGTCACTGCCTCTGGCGCTGCCTTGGGATGTGTGTGTGAGCCTGGAAGTGCGGTGCTCTCTCGTGACCATGAGAGGCAAGTCCCAGGCAGGGGCCAACAAAATCAGCCTGGGTCCTGGAGGGGGCCCCGAGCTGCTGACTTTGAGTTGTCAAATCCTAAAACTGGTGCTGACTCTGCATTTCCTGTCCTGTAATACCTCGTAGGCTATTTGAGGGCGTTTTATTGTTTCTTTGTTTGTTTATTATTACAAGTGCCCCAAAGTGTCCTAAGTGGTATGCTAGCCAATTTTGTTGCTGTTGTTAATAGCCAGTTAGATCATCTGCTGGCTCACCCGGGAGGTGTTCCATGTTTCCACTGCTTGAATGCAGAGGGTCTGCTCGGCAGACCTGTAGGCTGGCCCAGGGAACAGGGGTCTTCATTCCTCTGAATCTTGTGTCCTTGCCTGTGCTATGATGAAACCAAGGGGCAGGCGAGTGGCAATCACTGGGCTTGGTATGGAGGAGCGCTGAGCCCTCCAGAGAAGCTTCCAAGGGTGGACTTGGAGGTGAGAGCATCTCATTACACTCAAAGGTGTGAGCTGTCTCTTTTATTTTTATGTCTAGTAGCTAAGATCCCCAGAGTCCCCCGTAATTTTGCCTTGGTGGGGAAAAGCATGGGGTATCACACTGGAGAAGCAGGAAGTTCAGGATTAAAAACAAGGAGATCAGAATTCTAATCACAAGTCCATCACTAAGTTACTATGTGACCTTGACCAAGCCCCTTTCTGGGCCTCAGTTTCCCCCAGGGGGCCTCTTGCCTATGAAATGATGAAATCCCTGATGAAGAGTATTTATGGGTAACAAAGGGTTATTTCAAGCAGAATGATACTTCAGCCACCTGGGACCTTCAGTCTATCAGAAGATCTCTCTGTGGTCTTTAATGGAAGGAAGATGATCACCAGAAAATATACAAATGCTAGAAATTTGTGTAGAGAGAATTTCTTTGAAAGTAAATTTCAGAATATCTTGGAGTCAATTCACATCCATGTCAATCTCTTATCTTTCTCATCCGCGTTCAGTATCTCCACCTGGATGCAATGAAAATGACCCTGGGGCCAGGCAGTTGGGTTCATTGAGCTGTAGTTATTTATGTAGAAAGTAAAGCAGACTCAAGTTTTGAAAAGGTTTCCAGTGAAAAGTATGGAAGTGTTTAAAATTTGAATTTAACCCCTATTTAACTAGACTATCTCAGTGCCCCAAACCTTCAAACCTGTGAATGTATACAGGATTTGGAGGCTAGACCACACAGAATGCATAATGCAAATATCGTAATAGAGACCAGCATAGAATCAGGCCCTGGTCCACCTGTGGCTTGGTTATATGCCACTTTGTATCTACCTGGAATTGTTCCCCGTGTGTCAGTCACTCTTCATCGCCCTTTCCTCAATTAGAAACTAACTAGTGGTTGACTGGAGAGTTCTTGAGACCGTGTTCTGAACTTCTGAGTTCACCTCGGATTCTTACTCTGGAGTCCCTGACACTCACTGTATCATCGTTCTGAGAATGCAGCAGTAACGGAGAGTCCAGGAGAGAAATGGTTGTCTGTGTCCCTTAAGTGTGCTTTCAATATACATCTGAGGAATGGCTCCTTCTGAAACTGTCTGTATGGCATTGATCTGTCTGTCTGAAAAGATGAAAAGCTGTCTAATGCATACTGAATTGCATGGTTGTGATTAGGTAATGATTTAGCCAGTTCCCCAAATTGGCCACAAAATTCTGCCTCAATTTAGAAATGGATTAGAAGCTTTGAAGTGAGGGCAACTCTAGGTATAACAGTCCTGGAATTCCCTGTTTCAATGCGAGTCAAACAAATGGCTCTGTTTTTCTGAATATCTGCTCATGAGAGAAAATTTAGAAAATGCAGATAAGCAAAAAAGAAGAAGAAACTAAAAGAACACCTGTGATCCTTCCATCCAGAGATAATCACCTTTAATTTCTACGTAATTATCTTACTAGATTTTTTCTAGTGAGATTGAAAAAATAAATACGAGTAATTATTAACAAAAAGAGAGATGTTACTGACAACTGAAACCAGTGTGCTTTCGTGTCTCTATGATAAACAGTTCTGGGAAAAACGTATTTTCCTGTTTCTGTGCCAAACAATACTGGGGCTAAGCAAAAACACCCTGCTATTTACTCCAGAAGATACTTGCTTAGTTATCAAGATCAACAGCTTGCTCAACAGTGTTTGCTTCAAGACCTTACCTTACTGTGCCCATCAGTTCAAAGCTATTATGTCATCAGCAGTTCAGTCCCCACCAGTTCCCCACCTGGTGGGACCCACCTTGCAATCAGTCACTCAGCTCTGGCTCTAAAACCCTATAAATGTCCGCCCCCGGCTTCCTCTTTCTGCTCTGCTGCTAAGACTCTTTAGTCTTCTTTATTGAAATAAATTTAATAAACTTAGCTTTTCTTGATCAAGTTTTTCTAGTGGTTTTTTTTTTTAAGTTTAGTTTAGCTTTGTTTTGGGTTGTGGTAATTGCCAGCTAACACTACATGCAGCTTTTTTTTTAAATGTGTTTGTTTTTTCACTCGTATATCGTGAACACTTTCCCAAGCCCCTTTTCATCTATAACATTGTTCTTATATATCATAATCCATTTAACCAGTTCCCTATTATTTGGTCTGTAGGGTATAACGAATTTGCTCTTATAATCAATGCTATAATGAAGTTGCAACAGGCTAGATTCTTTGTTATCTCTATTTTCCCCTTAGAAGAGATTTCCGGGGGTGAAATTGCTAAATTAAAAGGCATGGCGTATTTTAAGTCCCCTGATATGTACCGTTGCTAAGTTTGCCTCCAGATTGTTCCAACTTGCTCTCTCACCAGAAGGAGATAAATGCTTATATTTTTACATTGTTGACAGTACTGGGTTTTAGCATTTTTCAATTCTTCTCAATTTGATAAGTGAAATATACCTGCCTGCTATCTATTTATCCACTTGTTGAAGATCTCTCCTGAGTGCACAATCCCACTTTCTTCACTGACCTAAGGTTTTCTCTCTCCTGGAGGGCGAGGTGTTCATTTCCTCCTCTGCATGTAGCTACTGCCTATCTATGTGGCTGCCACATCGTGGAAGGATAAGCTGGTTTTTGAGGAAGCTGTTGTTCGCCTTTGGACTTCGTGGTATATTTTTAAGTGGAAGGAAAAAATGTAGAATTCCTCCTTTAAATAAAACACAAGAAAACTAAAAAATGAAAAAAAAGTTTTCTTTGGGCCACATAAAATTAAACCTAAACTTACATACCCTGTAAGTATTGGGAACACAATATGGGAAGGTATGTGAGCGTGTTGGTGGCGGGGGAGGACAGGGGCGCCTCTCTGACTTACAGCTTTGGAAGCATTAGTATTGGGCTTGTGAAGTGCTATTTTCTACTAGAAATTTCCGCCAGAAATGCTCACTGTTGACTGATCTTTTGGCCTTCGGAGTAAGGTCAGTCCTGTCCTTAGGGAAGATGAATATGGAAAAAGTGAAAATAGAGAAATATGGCAAGTGGGCTGGTGCAGCATGGGGATTCGTGAAAGTGTGATGGGAGAGTGTAGAGAGAGAACCTGAAATCCAAATCTGTATTTCTAGGGAAATGGTCTCTAAAGTGCTGTGACCTCTAAAATCAACCCCAAGAGACAGACTTTTGGTCTTAAATCCTAGATTCATTAATAGGGAAAAGACACTTGACATTCACCTGGAATCACAGGACTTTGGGGAAATGGTGGTCTTCAGTCATTCCTTTTGTCCCCACCACATTCTTGCCCATCACACACCTCTCTTCAGCACAATCGCTTATCACAGTGTCAGTGATTCTCAGAAAGATTCTCAAAAAACCAAACCAAGATGGCAGTCTCTGGCTCTTAATTTGTCAAGATGCCATATTACCTGAAAACAAACTAGGAAAAGGGTGAGGAATGGCACTGCCTCATAAAGACCACAACAGGGCCAAGTTCAACATCTCAAAGAGACGTG